ATTAGTTACACGTGTTTTCTCTACTATGCCAAGTCTGCCCAACGTCTTCAACATAGCCCTTAAATTCTGTTATCTTCATTAAATGTTGACACAAACCTGTATCTAAAATAAAAATGAGCCAGCAGTGTAAAAAACAAAACAGGAAAAACTTTTAATTAAGCAAGCTCACAGTTACAGGCTATGTTTATGTGATAAGGGGAAGGTGCCACATTGATGGTTTGGTGACATTAGGTGATGTATGCATTTTTTGAAACTTAAGTTTGTAACACCAGCAAACTCCCCTCCTGTGTATACTGTATGCCACAGACAGAATGTCTTTAGACCAAAAATAATCCCTCTGTTGTCCAAGAGGTACCTGCCTTTGGTCTCAGTGCGTGAAACATACAACAAAGAACTGACAAGTAAAACATACTGAAAAAACAAAATGATGACAAAAAACCTACACATAATTATGATAAAGACTTTGTTTTCCTGGTATGAAATCAAATCAGAAATGTACAACAGAACTGGGAGAATCAGACCAAGGAAACTTATCGGTTGAAGGTTTTATATGTTTCTGTGAAAAGAAGCCTTTTGTTTTGAATTTTCTGTTCATGCAGTTTCCCGATTCAAACGCCAGACTCCTCTCCTACGCACGTTACTTCTAGAACACTGTGACACACAACTATGCCTTCACCTTCTCCAAAATATTAATGATAATAATTATAATAACTCACACGCACGCACACACACAATCATACTTTCCGAACCAACTTCTTCGCTCAAAAAGTTTGAGCCGGTTGGTGCTTAAGAGCGAAGTCAAGGAGCAGAACCGCATGTGATGTGGAAATCAAAGGGAGTTAAAAGAACATGATTTGTGAAGCAAATTGTGTGTTTGGGGGGGGGGGGATGCTGGGATGATAGCATGAAGGTAACATGGATAGGCTTGGTTACCTATAATGTCCCCATCCATCAACTGAAATTATATTACATATCCTCCACCCCGCTACTTCTCCACTGCAGTTAATCCACACACACCCACTTCCATCCTTCCCTCCACTGCTCGCTTCCCCTCTCTCCCTGGTATCACTGCACCGCCTGCTCGTTGGCAGTGCTACCGGAGTCCTGAGGCTTCATCACATCAGGGAGTTCTGGGGGGCTGGAGAAGGCCTCGATGTGCAGCTGTTCAAACATCTCATCTGAGGGGCGGAGGAGACAAGGAAACATTAGCTGCATCACGACAGCACGGTTGCATGTGGCTACATCAGTCACAGAGCTCTAACTTCATTTATTTCACCACCGTGCCAAAACATCCTAAAATACAATTTACACTGTCCAGGAGTAAATGCTGGCCGTCCAAAATATTACAGGGTGTTCAAGCATTGCACGTCAGCATAAATTCATATTATATTTAGTATACTTTACAGTAATTTGAAGTAAAAAGTATAAAGTAAAAAGAAAGTATCAGTTTCAGTGGTAGGTTTAAAGGTTTGTAACGTTAGAAATTATGTTTAAGCACCAGAGCCTGACTCATGTTGACAAAAAGGAATAAAAAGATGGATAAAATTAAATTAGATAAAATGTTTGTGGCAATTAATACATCATAAGTTCAAATGTAAGCCTATTTACTGACTTTTAAGGCCTAATATTTATAAAACTGAACTGAAAACATTCAAGACTTTTTAAGGACCTGCAGACACCCTGTACTAAAATGGCTGTTTTTCTACAATAAAATTATTTTCATAATTAAAGTGATGCTTAGCACAGAACCCCATGGAAACAGAGTGCTCCAGGAAGTCCTGACACCTGGAAATGAGTTGGTATTTTTGCACTTTTGGGGCCAGAACAATCCAGATTTGGAAATCTGACGTTTTGCTATCCAGGATCTGCTAATTTCATCTTACTTTTGTGCCAGTTTTTCAAAGCAACATTGGAATGGATCACCCTGATTAAGATACAAACATTTAAAGATTACCAAATCTGGATTATCAGGGCTCTAAATGGAACTACATATCACAATGTTGGCTACTGGCTGTGTAAAGAACAGGTAGAATAGCCAGTGTTGGGTCACGTTAAGTGTTTTATTTGAAGAGATAAAAAAAACAGCATGGGGACGCAACTGTGAGAAACTACTTTAATATAAAGTAATAAATTAAAGTTAAAATTGAAGTAATTACATAAAACATGTGTTTTCAAAATGCACCTTTTTAATGTATTTTTGGTTTTTGTCTTGTCCTGTCTTGTCAGCATTAATGTGCACAGGTTAGGCTGCTCATGACACTTGAAAGCACAAACTCCCACTACTGCTTCAGAACGCCATGGTAACTGCCTGACTGTTGTGACAGGTTTCAGCCTTTAGTCACTGTCACAGTTTATCTTCTCTCTGTGTGCACGTCATGTGTGTGCCACTTTTATGTATGCTTTTGCAATTCTAGATTGACAGCTTCATTAGAGACTGTTGTCATGTCTTTTTTTTTTTTAATCTTCTGTGTTGCGACTTTGCCAAAATTTATTTTTTAACATTCATGATCATTTTTTTCCCCTCGCTAGGATGGTGGGACACTCTTTAGTTAGAGCCCTGAGTCCTGTCACAAAGTTGCTGTGATGAACATTGACTGTGGCACACTGTTCGGGGTGGATATTCCAAAGCTTCAAAGTAATAACTTCTCTGGTTAATGTGTGTCTAAAAAGGTGCAAAAGAAACTTAATCTTGGGAGCATTTTTTGACTGGTGGCTCAGATATGATCTTTGGTATATCCGGAATGAAATCTGATTGATTTTTATCACATGTTGACAGCATAAAATCCCCACTAGATACAATTCTTGTGAGTCATATTAAACTACATTCAAAGATAGCTTAAAATTTTTAAATTTAAAATGGGATATATTCACCTTCATTATCACATACACTGTCTTGTGAATTGTAAACTTGTGTACCATGTAAAGACAAATTACAGTGCAGCCATGGTTTGCTGCAATGCTCAAAAGCCGTCAAATGTCAATTTATATAAAGTGGGGGGAAAAACCTAATTTAACTAACAACCACTATCTTGATGTCTAATATATCACTGAAACACTCTACTAAAAGGTTACACAGCCAAAGCCGAACTCAGTCATGTTCACTGGATACAATTAAAGAGCATTTTGCTAAATGAAGGCAAAACACTGAAGTACACAAGGTAGACTGAGGGGTTATCACACAGAGTAAGGTTACATTTCAGAAGAAAATGCCTTCCAGTTGGCACTGAACATCCCAGATTGATATTCAACAGCACAAGAGCATGGATAAGTAGTTGTTAATCACAGTTATCTACTGACATACATGGTGCCACGGCAACCAATTATACATCTTGAGGGCCTAATTGAGATTGATGCAAATTTGCTGGCACAAATCTAAATGACTGTTGTGAATCATGCAATTAACTACTTATACTCAATTAAATTAAATACGTAAGTCCAAAGTAAGACTTCTTGAGTATTTTCCCCACCCTTAAAAAGCAGAGTTGAGTTGATCAGGCTGCCTAGAAAAATCACCCTAGTATGAGGAAAAAAACATCCCTCATCCTTAGAGCGCACAGATAACATAAACTGCACATACCATTTATGCGGAACGCCAGACCAACTGTAGCTGGAGCTTGAGGTCTGGCAGTCTGGTTGGTGAATCCAGAGTCACCAAGAGTTTTGCTGTCCTCTAGCAACTGGTCATCCTGTTGGACAAAAGATCAAAGAGTCACAGGACCTCCTAGTGGCCTAAATAAATGAATTTGCTTCAGTGAACACGAAGACAGCATGTGAGGCAGTTCCAAAGACTATTTTAGCTACCCTCAGGAAAGATAAGTTACATGTCGCCACCATCAATTAGACATAATTGTGTTGCTGTCAGTTATGTAACCAGACATGACTAGGTGCCACTAGCAAACACGGCTGTAAACTCACTTTGTACAGCCTCTGGTCTTCGGGTGGTCTCTTAAGAATCCCTTCAACAATACGCTTCAGCTCATACACAGTGGTAGACTCCTTGGCATCTGTGAAGATTGTGGTCTTGTGACGCCGGATCATTAAGAACACGTCCTGAGGGAAAGTGGACAAAGAATTATAAGTTAAAAATATACGTTTAAGACAACTTGAGTTATGGTTTTATCCTGAAGATGAGGGCTTGAAGTTGTTTAAAAAATGTTATTCTGAATTTAAAATGGGATCAAACAGGAGAGCTGACTCTGCGTTTCCTCTTTAACACTTTATGTGACAAATCATGTCAGCAGGCCGTGTCGTTTTTAAGTGTCCATCTGTCAACCGTTTAAAACACCTTACTGACCTGTATGTAGGCTAAACGTGTACTGCTGGAGAAACCTTTAAATGATATTAAGGTCTTTAACTGGTTGTTTAGTAACTATGTAGGGCAAATGTTTATATGGATACAGACTAATTAACGCTACTGACAATCCATTGATTCATAAGACACCAACAATAACTGAGCATTGTATTTAACGTTAACTTAGCACTAAGCTAACGCAACTTTAGCCTTGAGGTGTTTCACAGTCAAGATAAGGCCTGACAGTTAAATTATTAGACACAGTAGGTCTGACAATGACGGTATACATTCAGCTGATCTGACTCGTCTAACCGGGTTAGTTAGCTAACGTTAAATCACTTCCAAGCTAAACTAGGCTAATCGCGAGCTACACCTCTCGTTAAAGCTAACGCTAACGATGAGAAGGCGAAGCTAGCATAGCGAGCTTAGCATTAGCTGGCTAGCAAACACAAACTGAAAGAAACGTTTCAATAACCGTCAGTACCATTTCTCACTATAACGTTTGAACAAAGCCCTAAACGTCACTTCGGTATATGTCTCTAGGCCCCATTCTCACAAATAGATCGATAATAATATTACAGTTACCATTTCAAGTGGTCAGCTAGCTCGCCAGTTGCGCCAGCCCTGTGTTGTGCAGCAATACCCCAGACTGCACCGCTTGCGGATATTGCGCAATTGAGATAAGCAGTCAGTATTCACGTAAGGCAGGTACGCAGCTCTGCGTATGGTTTTCAGAATTTGGCGCGAGGTGCTTTCATGCTTGAAGTGTGTACGGCGCAGTTTGGTTTGGATACAGACAGCACCTGAGCCCAGCTGTTATGAAGCCAGACCGTCGTTAAACCTGGATTATGGTCTGTGTTATTAATTATAACAATACGTAATCAGATTTTAACGTTACCTAACGCTGAATTGTTACTGTTACTGTACATTATTTGACAGTAAGTTAGCTAAGTTAGCGTGCTAGGTTCTGTTGTTATGTTGTTGACTGGGTCCGCCCTTAGGTAATGTTAACGTTAGCTAGCTAAAAGTTGTTTTGTGGAGGTGACATGTGTCAATGACAGCAAATAATGAGTGATGCTAACGTTAGCCATAGCCAAGTTAGCAAATTAACTGCGCTAAATAAACATTTGAAGGCTGACGTTATAGAACTTGGAGTGTTTTCTCGGTTAACCGAGCCACGTCACATTTAGCAGGTCTGTTCCAACGTTACCTCTCAATGCTAATAACGTTAACTATCTACTGACCAGGAAGACCCTGTTCTGCAAGTAAGCTGACCATCAAAGGATCAGTAGGACTGATAATGATACTGAAGATAACTGACCTGTCAAGCAGGATGGTCAAGATGTAAAGCCTAATGAGTGTGACAGATAAAAACAGCCTCCACCAAGTTTTGGTTCATTTTACTTATAGTAGAAACAAATATTTTTAGTGTCTGGACAGATTTTATTCTGTAATGGCATATCGAATTTTATTGCACATGTGTCAGGGTTCAAATTAAATGGAAACATTTAAATAATGAGTATGACTCATCACTTCTCCATCATTTTAGATCAGTAGAAAAAAGGACATTAAATGTGCATGAGCAGTGCAAAAAATGAAAGAATGAATAGTTTGTAAAAGTTTTCTTCTGAATGTTGCAGCTCACCATCTTCAAAGAAAAGAGCTGAAACGTCCCGACACAATGTCAGTGGCAGTTGAAACCACAGTGTCCAGGGTGCCTCTCCCTATTCCAACCCACTTTGCCCATGCAGAGCAATCCTTCTCCCTCAAAAAGCGCCGTCTCCCTTTCTCCACATCCTCTACGTCCGACTCATCCTACTCCTCCCCTGCCCTGCTGTCACATTCTCTGCCCCCGCTGCCACCATCCAAAGGATGTCCCCCTCTCAGTCGGATGTTCCCCCAGCATCCATCCCCCTGGACACCCCTGTCACATTCCCTTAGCAAGTCTCCCCCCCCGGATTCTGTGTACAATCCCAGCAAACAGCAGTCCTACTTCAGTCAGTGCTTCACTAATTTGGGACTGCTGGGCAGAGGATCCTTTGGGGAGGTCTACAAGGTAAGCAAGACAAAAATGTGCATCTGTATAAAAGCAAATAATATATATACTCAATGTTTATTTACGTTAAGAATTTTGTAAATGCTGCATTTTAAAGGAATACTTCCGTCCCTTCATAACCATTTGTACACCTATTACGTCTTGTTATGTTGAATTTGTGGAGAATACTTTTATTTCTTGCATGCCTCCACAGTGGGGGTCAGTAACAGTATTGACATAAAATCTTGGCTGTTTGAACATCTATGCTGTGGTTTTGTAATGGGGAAGCTCACAATACAAATTTAGATTTCTCTGTAAGCCTAACTTTCCCACTAAGATTATCATTTGGAGTTCCCCGAATAGAAGTTAAGGCTTCAGCATTTTCTGTATTTTTCTAGGTGCAAAGCAAAGTGGACCGCTGCCAGTATGCAGTTAAGCGCTCCGCTCACCGCTTCAGGGGCAACAGTGACAGGAACCGTAGCGTGAGGGAAGCCAGGAACCACGAGCGCCTCTGTCCTCACCCTCACATTCTGAATTTTGTGGCAGCCTGGGAGGAGTGTGGCCGACTGTACATCCAGACGGAGCTGTGTAGCACCAGCTTGCTGCTCCACGCTGAGAATCAGCCACCTGGGCCAGGTTTGTCCGAAAGAGACTATAAAATCTGTTCAGATGTTTAATCAGCTATGATATTTTGCTCCATATAATACATGTGTTTCTTGCTTGAGAAATTCCTCTGACATACTGACTCATTTGCAACATTTTAATCCAGATGAGGCTTCAGCGTGGGCCTACCTGTGCGACCTCCTCTCAGCGCTGCATCACTTGCACTCTCATGGTTTTGTGCATCTGGACCTCAAGCCGGCAAATGTCCTTATTACTGACTCTGGCCGTCTCAAGCTGGCGGACTTCGGGCTGCTGTTTGAGCTCAAACAGAAGAACACAGCATCTGTAGAGGGCAAAGTAAAAGATGACGTCCAGGAGGGGGATCCCAGATACATGGCGCCTGAGCTGCTCCGTGGGGAGTATGGACCTGCTGCAGACGTTTTCAGGTATGAATACCATACATGAAAAATTAAATGATATTGGAAAATATTGATCTGATTTAGTGTCTAAATATTGTTGCGTCCTTTTTCATACAGTTTGGGTGTTTCTATTCTGGAGCTTGCCTGTAACATGGAGATTCCGAATGGTGGGCAGTGCTGGCAGCAGCTCAGACAAGGCTGCCTCCCCTCAGAGTTTACCAGTGGTAAGATTGACTTTAGTTTAAACCTTTGTATTTAGAGTACTCCAAGGATGACGTGTTTCAGTAGGCTGTCACTGAAGTTAGCATCTTCCTGGTTCCCTCGACAAAAAGCCAGTGGGATTATCTATTGGATTTTGAATTATAGCAGGAAATAAGATCTGCGGCAAACAAGAATATATGGAACTTACACATTTTGATCAACAAGATCATCTTGACAAGTCAACACTGATGTAGTTTATGTTGTAAGCTTGTGTTAGCTGCAGACCTTATTTTGGGCATCTAACCAAAAAGCTATTCAACTAAAACCTTTGACGTTAAAACAAGAAGTATTAAACTTATTTTCAGGTTTTGGGACTCATTCTTGCACCACATCTATTGTCCTGTAATTTTTATTCACATGACTTATGTTTTCACTCTTTCCATGTGTATTTGCAGTCCTGTCAACTGAGCTTCAGACGGTCCTGCGCATGATGCTGGCCCCAGAACCATCTGACAGGCCGACAGTCTCTGAGCTTCTGTCTCTCCCCTCTGTTAGGAAGCACAGGTGGAAGAGGCGCATCTATCTAATGGTGGCCGAGACCGTGTTGACACTGGTCTCCCTCTGCCAGGTAACTTGTCATATAAACCCTGTAACAATTTGGAGTTTGCTTTTTAACTTTTTATCAACCTTGAACAATATTTTTCTGCTCTTTTTCTCAGTCGTTGTTGTGCCTCGGGTGTAGACTCGTGTCCTCCCTTCACTTGCCCTTTCTTTCCCACTGGACGAAGCCGGTGCCCTGCACTCCTCCTAAAGGAAGCTGGGACAAGGATTTAACTCTGCCTCTCAGTGCCATGCACGCTGACTCAGGGAGCCCAGAGGATGATGCAGTGTTCCTGTTGGATCCCAGAGACCCGGAGCTTTCCCCCACCTTCTCACACAGGTAGAGAACCATTAACTAAATCATTACTTTTTTTGTCACGTCTTCGAAATGCACACATTTCCGTTAACGTTACCTGTCACATTACCTGCTCATTTTTGACGTTACCTCACTCAACAGGGTCAAATCCAGACTGTCTGTGGGAAGCACATCCACTCCTCTCCCAGTTTCACCGAGACACAACCATCACAGCCCTGCCCACACACCCACTCACTCACGCCTGGATGAGTGGTCCTCCTTAGCACACACCCCCTCCAGCATCCACTCAAATGGTTCCTGCCACACACTCACGCCCAGTGCGAGCCCCATACACGCAGAGCTTTATGTAGATTGCAAGAATGAAAATTCCATGCAGAGCCGACAGTGTTCATCCACCAAGTCCTCACAGCGACGCGGTCGCAGCTGGGTCCGAACGGAGGAGGCACTACCGCGACCCAACTTTGAACCAAAGAACCTGCTCCATCTGTTTGAGGACACAACTGTAGAGGCAGAGCCATGAGTACAAAGCTGCCAGTTTACATTCAGGGGATAAAGGTGTTTTCACTTTAACATGTCGGGTAAAGAGGGACTCGTGCATGAATGTATTCAGTTTGTATTAAGTGTTTCTGCCATTTTGTAACAGTCCTACGCAGCTTCTTTTAACATGTATCTGAAAAGAACATATTTAGGGGAAAAGGTTTGAATATGAACTCTTTAAAGCACTTTTTATGTTTGTGTAAATGCAATCTGTTGCTGAAATGACAAGTCATGATGTATTGTTAAATAAGTTATCATTAACATGGTGAACACTGAGCTGTGTACTTCATGAGTTACAGCAGAAAATAAAACAAAGGGAAACTGAATTTGAACTTGTCATGTTTTTAGTATGTTACCAAAGAAATGTGAGTGGTGTAAGTTACCTTTTATAATACATTTCTCTTGAGTTCTTTTACATTACTAAGACTATACAGTGGTGGAAAAAAGTTTTCGGACACCCCATGCATTTGTGAAATATTGCATTAAGA